ACTCTTTCTCTTTTCTTTTCATTTTTCTCTACTTTAACATAAATTTATTTTTCAAACTTTCCATACTCTCTAAATAACTATTAAAAATTACTCTCATCCTCTAATGGTTAACTACTTACACATATTTAATTTTAATTATTTTTTCATTTTTATTTTTATTTTTAAACAGACATATAATGTCTTTTTTACACCAGTTCTTAATAAAAGTAGCTATCACGCATTTTTTACTTTACTATAGTGTAATCATCTTTTTTCTAGTGAATTCTTAATAAAGGTAGCTAGCACTTTTTTTAACCATTATGATATTTTTTTTAATCTAAATCACGTGTATCATTGACAAAAGGCAATATTGTTTGAGTTGGGAAAAGTCATTATAGTCAACAAAGCCTTCAAGTTATTATAATTTTTTTTTACCTTTATTATAGTATGATAATTTTTTTGTTACCACAATTATAATCACTAAATATAAGAATTTATAACTGCAAAATATAATAAAAATCATATTCTTAAATATGATAGTATTTTGATTTATAAATGACTTTGTTCTTACCGGAAATCTGCTGTAGAGCTGATCTGGCAGGTAAGATCGGTGAGCCTCCTTCACGGGTACGCTGGTGCTCCAAGATGGGGGTGGTACCTGCCAAAGAGACTCCGATGCTAAAGTTAGTATTTGTGGGAGTATGAGTCTCGTATAAATAATGCACGTAGCTTTGTGTGAATTAGGATTGTGTTGGGCCTTGGGCCTGATATCTGTTATGATCTGATTAGATAGTAGATCTCGTCTGGAGCGAGATCCCCGAGATCAGTTATGATCGGATTAGATTGCGGATCTCATCTTGAGCGAGATCTTCGAGATCAGTTATGATCTGATTAGATTGCGGATCTCATCTGGAGCGAGATCTCCGAGATCAGTTATGATCTGATTAGATTGCGGATCTCGCTTAGGCCGAGATCTCCCCGTGCGTGCCCGAAGTTATTCCACGCTGTGATACCGAGCTCGAGCTCGGCATGGCAGTACGGATAGTACAAACTTAATTATTAATAGTTTTAAAATTTTAATGCGTATAGAGAAGATAAGTTCATGATATTTAACATTCTTATTTTTCAAAATGTAAAAATTATAATTTAAGATAATTATGAACGACTTATTTGATTTCGCGAATTCATTATTAGTGTAAACACATTTGTGAATCTATTCACATGTTCCGCTAATCTATATCTATTTCACAAAAGTTTATCAAATTATTTAAAGATTAAAGAAAATTATTATTAATTTTAAGTATGGATCATGCACGAATTCACATCAAACTGATGACGAAATCAAGGTAAATTTTTTGGGTTGATTTGGATCATTAATTTAGTTTGAATTTTAAAATTATAAGCTCAATGACATTGGTTTTGATGTATTAAATCTGAGTTTATACAACCTAAACTAACCCAAACTCGTACTATTTAAAAATATATATAACTTTTTATATTGTGCAATTCTATAATTTTATGTTGTGTAATTCAATTGTTTTTCTATTATGTAATTCTACGTAGCTTTCGATATTATTTATTAGTTTAATTTCTTTCATTTTATTACGAATTTCTATTTTGTACATTTTTATTTGTTTTATTATTTTTATTATTTTATCAAGTAACCTAATGACTTATCCAGTTGAATGTGATTGAGTTGGTTGGAATTGAGTTACTATTTTATTTATTATGGAAAATTTAGGAGCAATTTTAATGGTTTATGGTGTTTTAAGAAGGAAAAAAATCAAATTTCAAATCCTGTTTCAGTTAAACTTGCAAGCTCTCACAGGTAGAGTTGTTACCATTGCCTATATATGACGACTCACCTTACCCTTTTTTTAACCCACAATTGTCTCTAAAAGAGTATGTTGTTTTTTTTGTCCTTAAACATACATCGTATTTTTTTATGTGGGATCGGACCAAGGTTGTATGTGAGCCAACCCATAATACAAATTTCTTTTAGATAATTAACGATTAACATTTGCTCATAAAAAATAAAAATAAAAATAAAATATTTTACACCAATCAACTGTTCAGTAAGTTGTTTTCGTTAAACAAGACTTGTTACCGGAGTTTCTTTTTCAATACAATCACTTCTTATTGACAAAGACGTGAAATTGAAGTTTTTGTT